CGCGTTTCCGCGTGCATCACTAAAATGCGTTTGAGGCTCAATTTTCACTTGTCCGAGTACACAGCGTTTTAATCTTTTTTTTATTTTCAAAATAATTAAACAATCGACACTGTTCGTCGAATTTATGACAAATTACAATAGCGCCATCAAATAGGAAAAAGTAACATGTGTCTATTTTTCTAATGTTAATGTTAATTGAAAGTTATTGAAAGTTAAGGCGACAGTATGGCTATAAAGAGTCGAGCGCAGATCTTGTAGCGTATGATTTAATTATGTATTAAGTATTACACGAGATGTAGATGGACCTTTCGGACCTTTGAGCCATCTTCAGTACAAATCCAGTTGACATAAAGCGTAAAATGATGGTAAAAAATTCTTGGTTGTGATTTTTTTAGCAAGAAGACTTGTTAAACATTCTATAGACAGCTGTCCAAAACGCAGTTGTACAACCGGATAGAATTGTTACAAAATGTACAACAAGCTAGAATGGTTGTAAAGATTTTTTAATATAAGAAATAGCCGATGAGAAACAGCAAGGAGTAAAATCAGAATGTAACAAAGAACATAATCATCTTACTTCCGAACCACACAAGTATTTTGCATATATATAATAAAAAATTTGTATAGATAAAATAAAATGGTCAGTGATTAAAATACGTCCAGAAATATAATCATAACAAAGCTTTAAAACTTGATATGTAAGAAATAATAAAATTGAAAAAAGATATAGTTAAAAATACGACCGACAAAGCGATTACATCGTCCAATGTCAAATTGTAAAATGGTAATAATTCCCGGTGATAAAAACAGATGTAATTACAAAATAGATGGCAAAATTGTTTATAAGATGATATATTATGATATATTATTAATTCGATTATTTTATAAGCGTTTATAAGCGTAAAATAGATCTAACAATTCAGTGTCTGTTTTTAAATTTAAATCGTTCTTTTATCTTTTTATATCTACTAAACGCTACAAACGCGCGCTGCGCGCGCGCTATTTATCTTTTTCAACACAAAAGCAAGAATTAACATAATACTATTATACTACTGTTACACTATACATTTTTACACAACTTTTTGATACACAATTGTCAAAACGATTCTTTGTGAGATCAATACAATGACACCTATTCAAAGTTAGTGCAGCGAGAGAATCAATCGGCATCTTGGAAAAGAGACAATAATAAAGTTCGAGAAATGCGAATAATCAATGTCATGCCTTTTTTTAGAAAGGATCATTTCTGAAATCAACCATTTGTTATACAAGTTCTCAACATCCAGAATTTTCACATTCTCCCATTTAAATTTATGTTTTGTATGGAAACTGTGTGGTCTGCAATCACAGAATGGGAAGATGTATTCCGAGTAGTATGTCTGCAATGTTCAGAAATCCGAATACTTAATAATCATCCCGTTTGCCTCACATAAAATGCATCGCAATTCTGGCAATTAATCTCGTATACACCATTTCTTTTTTGTGGATTTTTGTGTAATTTGATAGGGAGTCTTTATGCACTCTGATGACCACGAAGTTAATCAATATTATAAAATGTTAATCTAAAGTTCGAATTTTTTAAGATGTTGGCAAATTTGTTAGAAACAATGGTGATGTAGGGTAAACCATGAAAGTTCAGTTTCTCCTATATATTATCAATATTATCACTCGTCGATTTTTTTATATATTAGATTTTTTTAAGCACAAAGATTAACGAACAGATTCATAAAAGAGAATCGTGGGGTGTTGTTTACCAGAGCAGATAAGGGTAACAACGGTTGCGGTCGATAGGGATGCATATATAGAAAAAATTAAGGACATGCTTAGTGATAAGAATATTTACACCATTATTGACAAAGATCCGACTAGGAAAATTGTTGGGGATTTGAACACGCTGCTTTCGAGATGGAAAAAGAAGGAATACATTCCCATGGCGAGATACAGAATAGTATTATAGCGATAGTGTACTGCCGAGGGCTTATGGACCCGAAGATACACAAGTCGGATTGCTCCTATAGAGTCGTTGTGTCATCCATTGATACACCTCTTTACCAATTAGCCACTTTTTTGCATGAGGTAATCTCCATACCAATGTTCCCACAGCCTGAAGCCATATTCTGAACACGAGTTAATTAAAAATTTACAGGGAACAAACATTGATTTTTCTTTAATTTCTTTGGACGTTGCTTATCAATGTTCCGATAGAATTAGCGATTCAATGTCTATCGAAAAAGTGGCACTTTATATCAGACTGCAAAATACCGAAGAAAGAGGCGCGGTTTGTCTTGAATTCGACGTTTTTTCCATTTAATAATGTAGTATACAAACAAAACTTCGGGACTCCGATGGTTCTTCTCTCTCACCGATAGTCGCGGACTTAATCATGTAGGAGTTGGAGGAGGGGGTTGGATGGGGTTCTTGCGACAATCTCTTTTCCGGTATCAATTTACTATAGATATATTGACGATATTCTCATGGCGAATCCGTCTTCCGCAGTCAACCAAATTGTCAAACATTTTAATGCCTTCCATCAGAGGCTACAGTTCACATTGGAGATAGGCGGACGACAAATAAACTTTTTGGACGTCTCTCTTTGTCCATGTGAACAATTCAATTGTTTTCGATTAATATCATAAACCAACCTTTTCAGGTAGCTGTTTAAATTTTTTTTGTCGCAACACTCCATCTCCCAAAAGAGAGGCATTATTATGAACTTAGTTGACAAAGCATTTTTACTTTCACATCCGGAATTTCACGAAAAAAATCTTCAATTTATTGTTAACATGCTCGACATGACTCGAAGGAATTCATTTTTAACAATATTAAAAAGCGCTTAAAAAATCTAATATATAAGCAAAATCGGAGATCGTCGATAAGTGATAATACTATAATATACAGGAGGATGAACTTTCATGGTTTACCTTACCATACATCCCCATTGTTTCTGACAAATTTGCCAACATCTTAAAAAACTCGAACTTTAGACTAGCATTTTATAATATTAATAAACTTCGTGGTGTCATCAGAGTGCATAAAGACTCCCTATCAAATTCACAAAAAAAATGTCGTATGCGAGATTAATTGCCGGAATTGCGATGCATCTTATGTGGGGCAAACAGAACGATTATTAAGTACTCGGATTTCTGAACATCGCAGACATACTCGAAATACATCTTCCCGTTCTGTGATTGCAGATTACAGTTTCCATACAAAACATAAATTTGAATGTGAAAATTCTGTTGAGAACTTGTATAACAAACGATATGATACATATAAAAAAACAAAAGGACGATCTAAATTTAAAAACAAACATCTTTTGAATTGTTAGATCGAGCCTATTTTACGCTTATAAACAAATAATCGAATTAATAATATATCATACTTCTTATAAACAATTTTGCCATCTCCTATTTTGTAATTACATCTATTTTTATCATCGGGAATTGTTATGGCATTTTACAATTTGACATTGGACGATGTAATCGCTTTGTCGGTCGTATTTTTAACTATATCTTTTTTCAATTTTATTATTTCTTACATATCAAGTTTTAAAGCTTTGTTATGATTATATTTCTGGACGTATTTTAATCACTGACCATTTTATTTTATCTATACAAATTTTTTATTATAAATATGCGAAGTTGTGTGGTTTGGAAGTAAGATGATTATGTTCTTTGTTATATTCTGCTTTTACTCCTTGCTGTTTCTCATCGGCTATTTCTTATATTAAAAAATCTTTACAACCATTCTAGCTTGTTGTACATTTTGTAACAATTCTATCCGGTTGTACAACTGCGTTTTGGACAGCTGTTTATAGGATGTTTAACAAGTCTTCTTGTTAAAAAAACCACAACCAAGAATTTTTTACCATCATTTTACGCTTTATGTTAACTGGATTTGTACTGAGGATGGCTCAAAGGTCCGAAACTTAAGGTCTACACTTCATGTAATACTTAATACATAATTAAATCATACAAGATCTGTGCTCGGCTCTTTATAACCATACTGCCGTCCTAACTTTCGATTGTTTCATTTAGAGAGTCTTTTAATTTCGTTAATTTCGTTAATTTTTTAATTGCTAATGTTAATGCTTTCCTAATTTTGGAATTATCGAATTTTCGTTAATTTAGTTGTGAATTTAATGACAAATAAGAAAATTATCTAGATATATTAATGCATTTTTGATACATTATTATCAATAAAGTATCATAAACTTTCTTAATTATTATATTATTTAACATCTTATGAAATGTCGCCATTAGAAATTAAATCAATTCTCGACTCGCATCAAAAGGATCTAACGATCGTCGGGACGAAGTAATAACACGACTCGGTCTTTGCACGCGATCAAAAGAAGAAATGAACCTTGGCATAATTGAAAAATTGGCCCGACTTTCCGGAAGAAAAACGTTAGGTGCAATTAAGTTGACAGTTTAATCGCCAGTACAAATGACGAACCGCGTTGATCGGCGAGCTGCACATTCAGGTGCGAGAATTCCTCGGTGAAATTTAACCATCGCGTGCAGCGCCAGAGTCTCGCCGAGATTAAGCCGGTACTTCCGAAACATACTACGTTATTTAAAACCAAGGCTCTTTTTATCGGCTCACTATTTTCTCTAGCAGAACAAAAACAGTCACATACGAGATTTGCGATTGGATTCTTTTAAATAAGGCAAATTATTATTTAATAACAAAGTTAATGCCTAAATATGATCTTGATTGAAAAAAATTTCTTTTCTTTTTATATCTACGCTCATTACTTAGTATATTTCTGAAATTTC